ATCAACTACAAGAACAAAGGAAAGGGACATACTTGTGGTGCTCTAGGTGCTCTTGTCATTCTACAAAGGCGGTACCTCCACTATAATAGTGGCGCTAGCGGTGACCATAACACTTAATGGAACGTCAGTTGGAGGACTGGTCACCCTCGTATCAATAGCAGTCACCTCAATAACCTTAGTGGTATCTCCGGCTAAATGTGGCTCACCCGAAGAGTCCTTTCCACCTACAACCTCTTCGAAGGTAGTGGTGGAGGTTCCCGCTCCTCTATCTCGCTCATGTAGCTCTGACATATGCTCTCATGAGTCTGCAGGCTATCCACTCTTTCCCTCTTGCTCTCCTTGTTCTCCTTCCCTTTCTCTTATTTCTTGAGGACTCATCTTCAACCTCCTTTGAGATCCTCTTCTTTCCTTTTCCTCCTCCAACTACAGTGGGCACCCAATATGCCTCAAGATTTAGCTCCTCATCGAGATCAACATCTATGTATGGATGAGTAGGGACAGAAAATATCATCGGCTTCCTAGACAACAACTCAGCTACCTGGCTCAGCAAAGTCCCCAACTCCTCTCTAAGGCCTCCTGTATCTGTCTGCTCAGCCATACATTCATTGATGCGATGCTTGAAACTATCCAACCGGCTATGCAATAGCCTCGCAACCTCATCAATCCCGGCCTTCACCTATAGCTTAATATTTTCCATCATAGCATTGACCTTTTTCTCGATCACTATCAGTGTCTTGGCTAATTTTTGGAGGAAGTCCTAGGGTACCGACACATAACCTACTGAAGTCTGAGTCGGGGTACCTAATAGAGGTGTTGAGGATATGATGGGTGCTGCGTCTGTGTGGTTGGCCTCTATAGCCGACATCTCTTCCTAATCCATTGAAGTGGGGGCATTAACATTCTCTCCCTCGGATGCCTATGGTAGTGGGATTACTGAAGGAAGTCTAACCCAGCTTACCAGGTTCATGTCATCCCGTATAAGGCTGATATCAATAGTCTTCTGGCCTCTGATCAAATGATCTACCTGCAATTTCTCCTTAAGGCCTACCTCTAGGAATAATATATACATGAGACTCAGAAATGGGATGGTTTTGCTCAGTCCCATAGCCTAGTCTCGGATCTCCTCTGCTATGACTCTTAGAATGTTGATGGCGTATCTCGACATGATGCATGCCACCAAAGCTGCTCTGTTTACATTGAGGGTGTTATCATTAGCCATAGGCACCAACCTGTGGTAGACTAGTGCCCAGTAGGCCTTCACTATGAAGTTTAGTGAGGCTTTGGTAACCTGTTTTCCACTAGCCATCTAATCAACTTCCTCCTTGTCCTCGGCTAGAAATCTAAATATCCATTTCACTTGGCTCTACATCTCCTATAACCCTAGATGCTTTACTCTTTTCAAAGCCTCAACTCGATACTCAAACTCAGCGATGGTCTCCGACGCTCTGAATTGAGGCTCACATAATATCCGTGCAATGGTCCGCTCAGAGATGTCAACTGCATTTCCCTGCACCATCATATTCTCCAGCTTAGGTTGTTCTTTCAATTTTCCAACCTTTTGCTCTCTACTCCATTGTGGCAAAATAATTGGCATAGAACTCTCGGACTATCTCCACATTGTATTTCTCTAGAGTTCTAGCCATCCATTCGAATCCGTAGAAGCTTAAAATTTGCTTAATTTCCTCAACCTCATTCAAAGAACTAGTGAGGATTCGTGGTTCTTCTTGTATACTCCACCTTGAATGATTATTTGAGGTAAGAAACAGACCCTACTCATAAATCTTTTGAGCACTGGCCACTCTCCACCTAATAGTACGGTTCTCCCTTGGTGGAGTTTGGTCACCCTCTTCCTCAACAACTTCTTCCTCAGACCCGGCCACATCATTACCATCTCCAGGCTGGGTCTCCTTAGACCCTTCTTCCTCATTAGAGCCACTCCCAGACTCTTGGATCTGATCACCTAATCCCTTCTCCGAGTGGGGAGAAACGGGTGCAGCTGCAGCTTGAACCTTGATCTGATCCCTAGTGGTTCGTGGCCTATTAGTATCAGAAATCTCAACTCGATACTCTTTCACTAAACCACTAGGGAAGCTGCCTGCTTGATTAGAGATGGAGGGCGCATCTCTCAATGTCCTCTGAGAAGCTATTTCATCTCTGTCCCACTTGTCTTGGGGCTTCTTCTTTGATATTCTCTTGAACGTCATTGTACCTATGGAGAAAAAGTGTAATATATATGATCTGAGAAAAAGACAGAAAGAAAAATGTCCTTTGATGTTTTCCACAGGTCTATAGTATGGGTTGTACCTTAGTGGTACGATTCATACTCTGACTCGTGGTATATGATAGCTCTGTCACGACTCTGTGGTATGACTCGTACCACGTTGGTATGGTTCGTACTAAGAGTCATATGAGGAATTGCTTAAAATTCATATGTTCTATGTTTTTGTACGACTTAAGTTATGGATTGTGATTAGATTCAACGAGTCGTACAAAGGTTCATACTAGTACTTGAACTTTGACCCTTTCTTCTTTATGGTACGATCACTAGGTATGACTCGTAGTAGGATACCATGAATTGTACTAGGCCCCGTACCAATATTTTCACTCTTAGTGACTTGGGACAGTCCCAACGAGTCATCATATGGGTTGTAGTATGAAACCACGAATTGTAAGAGGACTCATGAAGCATGTCCTCACCTTATTTTGGTTTAGTTGTTTAGGTTAACAAATTCTTTGATGGGTACTTAGAGTTCCCCATCCCAGGTATGCAATTTTGTCAATTTTGACCTACCTAGCTAACCCCTAACATGCCTCACACCCAATAACTCATTGTCGTCAATCAACTTTTTTGGTTTGAGAATTTTGAATTCCTACCCATTTAACACATTAGCATGTCAGGCTACTAATCACCCTGCCATACCCTTTTATCAAGGATTTTAAGGAATCATAATGGTATTTTTGTTTATACATAGCAAGATTTTCAAATTTAACACATTTACTTGAATTTTTTCAAGTTCTTGCTCAACTTTTACCTTGCTTCAGTTTTTGAGTGCGAATTCAAAATGCTCGTGCAGCTTCACTTTCATAAATTCGAGCTTGCACGAATTTTAGCTTGAGTTACGGGTGTGAGGATCATGGGTAGAAATCGTGGGTTTGAGTTTATGTTTGCGTGGGAGTGGTTGTTCGATTGAATTTTATTTAAATAGGTTAGGGCAGATTTTCAAAGATTCAGGTCGAGTCAGGTCAATTTCATTAATTTCACCCGTCACGACTAGTACCACGAGTTGTAGGTTGTACCTGCAGTTTGTCCCTTGGACTCGTAGCAGAAGACTTTATGAATTTACTTGGGGACCTATGAGTGTATGGTACGACTTGTACCATGATCGTATGAACCGTACTATGGCTCGTAAGTCATTATTTTCTACACTTCCATCTTTGGCATAGTTCATCCTTACAGTGGGTACTATGACTTGTGCAAAGGAGGTACGATTCGTAATGACCAACCATAACATGAATTGATGCATCAGACCAGTCTCTTCTTTTAACTACGGACAGTAATACGAGCTGTACAATCCTCTTATGAGTTGTACTTAGGCTCGTAGTACAGGTCTGCTCTGTAATTTTTCACCCACCAGTTTTGTTTCACCTGGACACTAAACACACATAAGTTAAGCTAGTTGGGTTGCCTCCTAAAAAGTGCTTGACTTAAAATCACGGAACAACGCAGGTGGTCTGGTTACTTAGACTTCACCAAACCACCTCGTGGGTTGCCTCTCAAGAAGCACTTGATTTAACGTTCCTACATGACGCAAGTCTCTTGACTACTTAGAATTTATCAAGAAACTCACTATCATCCTTCATTGCTGAGACAACCGAAAACTCATTGGGCTGCTTCATTTACCGGTAGACACTAAAAGTGACCTCCTGTTTATTAATCCTGAACTTTAGTAGCCAGCCTCAACATCCACTAAATCTCTCCCATGGATACTAGCAGCCTCTTATCTTCCATTTGGGTGTTGATACAGGTGTCTCTTGAGATGAGGCTTCCCTGTTGTAGCCTGAATGAATCATAAACCAAAAAGAAAAACGTAAACGAGAAATAACAAATAAAAGTTAAACACTACAATTACTCTAATGTTAATCCGTATTCCCCAGCAATGACACCATTTTTGATAACGCTCAAATCATACTCTTGTAAAAGTATGATGCGGACGTTGTCAATATATAACCCAACAAAGGTTGGGGTCGATCCCAAAAGGAATATGGTTAAGATATAGAATAATGCCAGTATTTAAGCTTTTAAATGTGTTAACTCCAAAAAAGGGGGGGGTTTATAAAAGCAATTATATGAAAATGTTGAGAATTGATTGTTGTTTATCAAGATTATGCAAAAAACTAGGGTAAGTGTTCCCATAGATTCATAACTACTTTGGGTTTTACACTTGTGATCTATCCCAATGCTTACTTGTAGAACTGATAACTAGGGTTCATTCAAACGACTGGTTCGTCCCTATTGAATGACTATACTCAGTCACTGGGATAGGTCTCATGAGCGATTTCACTACAACCATTATCAATTTGTCCCAAATTAACTATCTTGCGACCGCAGCTCAAATCATACAATGACCCATAAAGATCAAGGCTTTTTTGTAATTCTCTTTTCCTAATCTCTACTTCTCTAGGTTCAAGCAAGTAAAGAATTTGGGAAAGTCCTAATGTTTCTTCATTAAGAAATATTAAAGATGAAGAGAATACAATACAAGTGTTTAGCATTGGTTTAGAATCACTTTGTGCAACCCTAGTTTGTCAATTCACCATGGTTCCCACAACCCTAGTTAAGGAGGTTTTAGCTTCTCATGATTGTAAGAGAATTATAAGTATTCATACACAAACACATAATTTAGAACTTAAAAAGATGATTGAAAGAAAACCCACTTGATTATTGCAAGAATTAATGAAGAATAAGTCAAGAACAATGGAAGAATCAACTCAGGAATGATGCGGTGGTATAGTGGTAATTATTCCCAACTATCATGCGGGTGACCCGGGTTCGATCCCCGACAACGGTGCCATTTTTGATAACGCTCAAATCACACTTCTATAAAAGTATGATGTGGACGTTGTCCATATATAACCCAAAAAAGGTTGGGATCGATTCCACAGGGAATATGGTCAAGATATAGAATAACACTAGTATTTAAGCATTTAAGNCTATTATATGACAATGTTGAGAATTGTTTGTTGTTTATCAAGATTATGTAAATAACTAGGGTAAGTGTTCCCCATGGATTCATAACTACTTCGGTTTTACACTTATGATCTATCACACTGCTTACTAGTAGAACTCATTGATAACGCTCAAACTCACGCTCCTGACAAAGTATGAAGCGGACATTATCAATAAATAACCCAACAAAGGTTGGGGTCGAACCCACAGGGTATATGGTAAGAAGTAGACTAATATAGGTATTTAAGCTTTTAGGTGTGATATCTCCAGATTAGGGGTTTATAGAAAAACAATTGTAAAACAAGAGTGAAAATTAGTTGTTTTTTATCAGTATATGAAATTAACTAGGGTAAGTGTTCCCCATGGGTTCATAACTACTTCGAGTTTACACTCATGATCAATCCCAATGCTTACTTATAGAACTGATAACTAGGGTTTAGCCAAATGACTGGTTCGTCCCTATTGGATGCTTGTACGCAATCACCGGGTTAAGTATCATGAGTGATTTCAATTTAATTATTATCAATTTATTCCAAATTAACTGTCCTATTCGCCACAACTCAGGTTATAGAATGATCATAAAAATCAAGACTTTGTTGTAACTCTCTTTTCCTAATCATTGCTTCTCTAGGTTCAAGAAAGTAAAGAATTCGGGTAAGTCCTAACATTGTGCTTTGTTAAGAAATATTAAAGATGAAGAGAATACAATACAAGCATTTACATTGGTTTTGAATCACTTTGTGTAACCCTAGTTCATTAATTCACCGTGGTTTCCACAACCCTAGTTGTGAAGGTTTTATCCTCTCATAATTGTAAGATTATGATTAGTATTTATAGATTAACACATAATTAAATATTTACAATGATGATTGAAAGAAAACTTTCTTTCAATATTTCAAGAAAAGATGTTGAACAAATTCAAGAACAGTTAAGAAAATCAATGTTATGATCCCAAGAATTGCTATCCAATATTGTTAAAAACTAATTACAAACTGATAACAATCCTCCTCTAACTGCTTCTGAACTAAAAAAAACCTAAAAAGTATTTATAGAGATAATAAAATTCTTTTCCTAAGTTAACAGGGAAATATCCAAATCTGGTGCCAACACTTCATACAACTCATCATACGACCCATAACAGGATTGTACAGGTCGTTCCTTGTCTTGTACATCCCTTGGCTTCTACAAAATTTGGATTTTATGCTCTTTCTCTTTGATTCTTTGTAGGTTCTTCACGTGAGTGGAGAAATCATGAAATTGAGAAAAACACATGAAGTTTGAGATGGAATTTTATGAGTTGGCATATGAAGGAAAGGAGTCAAAGATAATGGAAGATTTGAGCTCAAGAGGAGGTGTAAGGACATTCTTTCAACCGGCTAAACACGTATCCAAAAGGGAGAAATGCGGGCAAAATGCCGAAGTTACTTCCTCGGCCGGCTAACCAACTGGCTCTTTGCGGGTTGCACCGGCTATTCTCCGGTGGTTCACAAGTTGGCACCGACTATTCATAGGTTGGCACCGACTGTTCGTAGGTTGGCTTTGGCTGTTTGCAGGTTGGCACCAGTTGTTCACAGGTTGGCACCGGCTGTTCATAGTTCAAAGGGCACTGGTTGTTCACAGTTAGCAGTTCCTCAAGCTTTTATGGTTGATTACTTGAACTGGCTTTGGGGTTTGAAAGAACCCAAGGCATAAACACTTTTATTGTTGAAAAATACGAGAATATGAATTATCCACTGCTATTTATGCTAATTTTGAGTTTAAGGCATTGAAGAAAATTCTGATTTAATTGCGATCCCATCTATAGAATGCCCCTAGCCATATCACTTGTGATTGCATCAATTGGAATCCCCCCACTTAGATTTATTTTAGAATTAGATAGTGTTTTTTCCTGAATTTCCCCCAAATTTTACTTTTCAAATATTGAACAACGTTGCGTTCTAGTTTAAATTAGTTTATAACTCTTTAATTATCGACTCAATTCTCTGTGGGATTTGACCCCGAAATCCGTTGGGATATTTTTTTTGATACAATAACCATTTACAGTTTTACTCTAAATGAGGAGTGTATTTCAGCATTATAAAAAATGGCACCATTGCCGAAAAATTGACTTGTTATAATACATTAGTTATTTATTGATTTGAACTAGTTTTGCATTTTTGTTTTACATCTTGTTTTGCTTTTATTTTTGTTTTTATTTTTGTTTTTTGTAGTTGTATTATGGCATCATTGAATGAAAGGAGGTTTGTTAGTTGCAACCCTTATTATGATGACCCATATCCCTATTGTGGAGGACAACACTATTGGCAAGATGAAAAATATGCCCCTAGAAGGGAGATGAGTGCACCTTCTCCTTCCTATGATCGGTATGGATACACATTATGTGATAGTCATGGGAGGCATTGGGATGGATACCCAAATGAGTTCATTTCTCACTATAATGGTTATGATAGAAGTTGTGCTCCCAAGCTTGAAAGGAATGAAGCAATGGCAAATGAGGGAAGGAGAAATACATGTGGGCGCATGGAAGCCATGATCCAAGCAATTTTAGAGAGGGAGACCAATATAGAAAAGAATGCCAATCCCTCCATACCCATGGAATCATTAACTACTCAAGAAGAAAGTTGTCAATCTCTAAAAGAAGAAGCGGAGGAGAGATTGAGGAGCATAACAAGAAGAAGTGAACAATGGGGCATAGCTCAACTTGACTCATGTGAGGAAGCACAAAATGATGATGAAGAAGGAGTCAAGGTGATTGTTGAAGCATTCATAGAGGTGTGCTAACCAACCAACACTACAATAATGCAAGATTCCTAGGTTGAAGAAGTGACACTAGAGTCTCCAAGTGGCATCCAACAAATCACGCTCAAGGACTCTAGTGCACTTGAAGAGGAGGATGTCAAGCAAGAAGCATGCTTGAAAGGGGAGTGACTTAAACTGCCCTTTTATAATTTTTCAACATTGAACTTGGTTGACAACATGGAGACTAAGGAGACCAAGTAAATGGAGGAAGTTGAATAGGAAGATCATGGTGGCTTTATCTTAGAGTATGCCATGCCAACAAGGTCAAAGCACATCCCTCCTTTAAGGGCCAAGAAACACAAGATTCAACATCCCTTTATTGGTCCCTTGATGCTTACACCATCACCCCTCAAGTGGTATAGAATAATGGACAAGAAACTATGGGTGCGATTCAAAATATCAAAGTGGAGAAAAAAGTGGTGAAGTTGAAGTCGTCGAGCCATGACGTTAACTAAGGCGTTTCATGGGAAGCAACCCAAGTTCTTTTATATTTTGTTTCTACTTTTTCTTTTGTTTTGTTTTACTTGATGTTTGTGTTGTCTTTGATTGTGTAGGGATGGAATAGGTATGGAATGTGATAAAGGTGAGAGAAGCCAAATTCAAATTGAGCAGTCGATGCTAAATCGGAGAAGTGCAAGTCTAAATGCGCGAAATGCAGATGTCAAATAGAATGCGTGGAAGAAAATTGCTTAAATAGTGGAACATATGCGTTAGCCCAGTGAAATGTCGATACAAATACACGAGACGCCGGTCAAACGCCAGTTATGAGAAGAAGGCTTGGAAAGAGGAAGTTCTAAAGAAATGGTTCTACAATGCACACAGTTCCAATGTAGATGCCTCCATCATACTAGGAATTTCATTCACCTATTCCTTCCTTGGTATTTTTTCCATATGAATCAAGGACAATGCTTTATTTGTGTTAGGGGTGAAGCCTGAATAGCCCACTTGTTAAGTGATATAAGATATGTCCCTATGATAGATTTGGTGACATCATTCTTAAGGGAAAATCGTCATTACTTGTTAGTAGCATCACTTTTTTAGATAGTAGTCTTTGAATAAACTCCAAGGGTTTTATTTATACTATGGTTCTTTCCTAAGGAGCGATTTCTTTGTCTTTTCTTTTTGTTGTCGAACCAGGTTGGCACTTCCTGATGATAGACTGAGAGGCCAATTTCTTAAGGGAAAAGGTCAAGTTTAAAGTCTTATTGAGTCTTTGTGCACTTGTTTGATGAGGTACCACAAACATTTCTTTCTTGGCATTGTGCATGAGTGTATAAAAGAAAAGGAGGGCATTCAAATGTGAAAATAAGAACTCTCTTTTCATGAAATATATATTCCTTGCTTTGCTTGTCAAATTGATTCTCTTAATGTGATGAAGGAAGTGTGTGAACTCTTTGGATTGTGATGCCTTGTATGGTGAGGCTTTTTGCTTAATTCTTGTGTATGCATAATTTTCTAAAACTTTTCCTAAGTGTGATTCAAGACGAAATAATAGATGGGGCTGCACTTAGAAAATGATCTTAGGCCCTCTTTTGTTAGTCACTTCACCCAAAATGACCTCCTTGAACATTAATCTTTGATAGCAAACATTTGAGCCTTGAACCCTTTTCTTGGAAACCACATTACGAGCTCAAGGACTATTTTTAATCCTTCTCTTTGACACCCATCCTCTATAATATCTAGTAATGAAACAATGAAAATAATGAGGGCTTCAAGCCCAAGCAATAGGGATAGATAAGGAGATGAATGTGAAATGAGGAAAAATCCTAATTTTGGGGATTTGCAAGAGTAGGGGGAGAAATGAGAAGCCTAAAATTGAGTTAGCACAAAAATTGTGATGAGTTGAAAGTCCTCGAATCATCAAAAGAGAAAGGATAGTAAAAAGGTTATATTTCTTGCATATATAAGACTAAATGTGAAATTCATGGGTGTTATAAGGGTGGCTTGTATTACACAAAATATAAAGATGATGAACAAGAAGAAATAAGGAGGAGTGATCTCAATAAGGTGATGGGATGTTACAAGTATTTATAAAGGCATTAG